GTCTCTAACTTCTACTTCCTGTCCGTGACTTCCACTTCCTGTCCCCATGAGGATGAGGTCGCGGGAGAGACGGCGGGGGGCCGAGAGTCCCGGCATGCAAACGCGCTCATTAGCATATGCAAAACAGCCGGGGACACGCTGGGGGGATCTCTGTGCCCAGCGACGTATGCAAATGCCCTCATTAGCATATGCAAATGCTCCCCGGGACCTCACGCGGGGACCTTGGTGCCCAGCGGGGCATGCAAACGGCCTCATTAGCATAGGATTAGCATATTCATGAGGTCGTGAGGACCCGGTCGTGGGAGAGACGGCGGGGCCTGGAGTCCGATATGCAAATGGCCTCATTAGCATATGCAAATGGCCGCCATCCTCGGCCACTAGCGAAGCAGGGTCCTTACTGGGGCCGATTAGCATAGGATTTGCATATTCATGAGGTCGTGAGGACCCGGTCGGGGGAGAGACGGCGGGGGCCTGGAGCCCGATATGCAAACGGCCTCATTAGCATATGCAAATGCTCCCCGGAACCTCACGCGGGGATCTCGGTGCCCAGCGGGGCATGCAAATGGCCTCATTAGCATAGGATTAGCATATTCATGAGGCCGTGAGGACCCGGTCGTGGGAGAGACGGCGGGGCCTAGAGCCCGATATGCAAACGGCCTCATTAGCATATGCAAATGGGGCCGTCCTTAGCGCGGAGCCTATGACGGGCCGATTAGCATAAAATTAGCATCTTCTCCAGGATCCGGCCCCAGCAGAGACTCCAGCGTGGAGATTTGAATATGCAAATGAGGTCGCCGGGGGTTATGCAAATGCGCCCCTCGGCCCCCAGGGCGGGGCTGCGCGGCGGTCATTTGCATATCGGAGCCTATGACGGGCCGATTAGCATAAAATTAGCATCTTCTCCAGGACCGGGTCCCAGCAGAGACTCCAGCGTGGAGATTTGAATATGCAAATGAGGTCGCCGGGGGCTATGCAAATGCGCCCCTCGGCCCCCAGGGCGGGGCTGGGCGGCGGTCATTTGCATATCGGGGTCCGTGCTGCGGCCGATTAGCATAAAATTAGCATATCCGTCAGGACGAGGCCCCAGCAGAGGGTTGGGCGGAGGCGGGCCGCATGCAAACGACCTCATTAGCATATGCAAATGGGGCCCTTCCCCCCCCAGGAGCGGCGGCGATTTGCATAACAGCGCCTGCGTCGGGCCCGATTAGCATAAAATTAGCATATCCGTCAGGACGAGGCCCCAGCAATGACCTGGGGGTTGATTTGAATATGCAAATGACCTCATTAGCATAGGCCGCACGGGCTCCGGGGCGTGAGCGGGCGACGTCACCGCCCGCCCTCATTAGCATATGCCAGCGAGTTCATTAGCATATGCAAATGCGGGTGCTGGGGACTCGGTACCAGGCGGGACCCGGGGACGAAGAAACACGGTTTATTGACTGACGGGCGAGCAGGCCCCGCCCCCCAGGCCCGGGTGGGCGGGGCGGGATGTGGGCGGGGCCGGAGGTCGGCGGCCCCGAGGGCACTTCCTGTCGGGAGGAGGTCGCGGGGTCGCCCTGACGTCGTCGTCGTCGTCACACGGGGGCGGAGTCTGCGGTGGGGGCGGGGCCTCGTCAGGGGCCGGAAGTCCCGCCCCTCGGCCTGCCCCCGCCCACCCGAGGGCCGGAAGTGGGGGGTCGGGGGACAGGAAGTGGGGGGGGGTCGGGGAACAGGAAGTGGGGGGTCAGGGGAACCGGAAGTGGGGACGGGGGGAACAGGAAGTGGGGGTCGGGGGAACAGGAAGTGGGGGTCGGGGGAACAGGAAGTGGGGGGTCAGGGGAAGAGGAAGTTGGTTTAGGGGAAACGGAAGTGGGCTTGGGAAACCGGAAGTGGGGTCAGGGGAACCGGAAGTGGCGATGGGAAACCAGTAGTGGGGGTCGGGGAACCGGAAGTGGGGTTGGGTAACCGGAAGTGGGGGTCGGGGAACCGGAAGTGGGGTCAGGGGAACAGGAAATTGGTTTGGGAGAGCCGGAAGTGAGGGGTCAGGAAACCGGAAGTGGGATTGGGGAACAGGAAGTGGGTTTGGGGGAACAGGAAGTGGGACTGGGGAACCAAACGTGGGGTGGGGGGTAACAGGAAGTGGGGGTTGGGGACCCGGAAGCGGGGTCGGGGGTCGGGACTCACCCCCGCTTCGCCCGCGCAGGCACCCGCGCTGCAGGCCGGACCGGAAGTAGGAGGCCCCGGCGCCCAGCAGGGCCACGACGACCACGGTGACGATGGGGGACACGATGCGGGCCACGGTGCTGCCTGCGGGGGGGGGCGGGGGGGGCGGTGCTGGGTGCTCGGGACACGGGGGTGAGGGCTCGGGGTGCTGGGTGCTTGGTACAGAGTGATCAGTACTTAGTCGTTGGGGTGCTGGGCGCTCGGTACTCAGTGGTGAGGGCTGGGGTGCTGGGAGCTCAGTACAGAGTGATCAGTCCTCAGTGTGCTCAGGGTGCTGGGTGCTCGGTTCATAGTGATCAGTACTTAGTGCTCAGGGTGCTGGGTGCTCAGTACCTGGGCAAGAGGGCTGGGGTGCTGGGTACTCCGTTCATAGTGATCAGTACTTAGTGCTCAGGGTGCTGGGTGCTCAGTACTCGGTGGTGAGCGCTCAGGGTGCTGGGTGCTCAGTACTCAGTGATTAGTACTTAGTGGTTGGGGTGCTGTGTGCTCAGTACTCAGGTGCTCAGTACACAGTGGTGAGCGCTCGGGGTGCTGGGTACTGAGTACTCAGTGCTGGGTGCTCAGGGCCAGGCGCTCACCTTGGGTGCCGTCGTGGTGACTCGGTTCCTCTCGGCCTGCGGGGGGGGGGGGGGGGGGCAGGAGGGGCGGGGTCAGGTGACCTCCCGGGGTCACGGGGTCAGACAGGGTCGGGGGGGAAACCGAGTCGGGGCGGGAAGGGGCGGGGCCCGGGGTCCAGGAAGCGGCGGGTGACGGACACCGCCGGGCCCCGCCCCCGCGTGACTCACCGGAAGCCCCGCCCCCCCGCGGCCGGGCTGCGCCCCGGGGTCGCCTTCGCCTCCGATTCCTGTCGGGGGAGGAAGTGGGGGGCGGGGCTGAGGGCGGGGCCGGGGGCTGTCAATCACTCACGGGGTCGCAGGGATTTGCATAAATTATAGCGGTTCCCACGGAGCCAGACCCCCGATTTGCATAGATTTGCATAAATTATAATAATTCTCGTTTTTTCGGCCCAGACTTGCATAAATTATAACGAATCTCGCTGTTTTCGGGCCGGACTTGCATAAATTTACATAAATTATAATGATTCACATTGTTTTGGCCCCGATTTGCATATATTTGCATAAATTATAATAATTCTTGTTGTTTTCGGGCAGGACTTGCATAAATCTGCATAAATTATAACGAGTCTCGTTGTTTTCGGCCCGGACTTGCATAAATTTGCATAAATTATAATGATTCTCGTTGTTTTGGTCCCGATCTGAATATATTTGCATAAATTATAATGATTCTCGATGTTTTCGGCCCGGACTTGCATAAATTTACATAAATTATAACGGTTCGCGTTGTTTCCCCGGCCCGGACTTGCATAAATTTACATAAATTATAACGGTTCGCGTTGTTTTCGGGCCGGACTTGCATAAATTTGCATAAATTATAACGGTTCGCGTTGTTTTCGGCCCGGACTTGCATAAATTTACATAAATTATAACGGTTCGCGTTGTTTTCGGCCCGGACTTGCATAAATTTACATAAATTATAACGGTTCGCGTTGTTTTCGGGCCGGACTTGCATAAATTTACATAAATTATAACGGTTCGCGTTGTTTTCGGGCCGGACTTGCATAAATTTGCATAAATTATAATGATTCTCGTTTTCGGCCCCAATCTGCGTAAATTTGCATAAATTATAATAATTCTCGTTGTTTTCGGGCCGGACTTGCATAAATTTGCATGAATTATAATAATTATCATTGTTTCCGGCCCCGATTTGCGTAAATTTGCATAAATTTTAATGATTCTCATTGTTTTCGGGCAGGACTTGCATATATTTGCATAAATTATGATTCTCGTTGTTTTCGGGCAGGACTTGCATGAATTTGCATGAATTATAATAATTCTCATTGTTTCCGGCCCCGATTTGCGTAAATTTGCATAAATCATAATAATTCTCGTTGTTTCGGGCCGGATTTGCATAGATTTGCATAAATTATAATGATCCCCATGGGCCAAAGCCCTGGATTTGCATAGATTTGAATACCCCATAATCTATGCGCGTCCGCCGCGATGCGCGTTTTCATAAATCTGCATGGGCGACCGTGGTCCCCGCTGGCGGGGGGGGGGGACCCTGATTTGCATGAATTTGCATGAACCGGCCCGTTCTTACCGCTTTTGACGCTCGTCTGCATAAAATTTGCATAAATCGCACTTTCTACCGCGCCCGGCAGCAAATTTGCATATCTCCCCGCCCAACATTTGCATACATTTAAATACGATCGACGCCCGGCCGAGGCCCCCAAACCCGTGCGCGCCTGATTTGCATAAATTTACATACGTCCCACGGACAGACCGGGACGTTCCCTGGGGGCGATTTGCATAAATTTGCATCTCAGGAAGGGCCCGCCGCTGATTTGCATGCATTTGAATACATGACGTCACTCGCAGGGAAATTTGCATAGCCCCGCCCACCCGCCCGGCTGAAATCCCCCCCCCCGGGGTAGATTTGCGTGCATTTGCATAAATTTGCATTTTCTGAGCCCGGGGCCTCTTTCCCCCCTCATTTGCATACGTTTGCGGGCTCCGCCCCCTGCCGCCCACCCGGGCCTCATTTGCATACATTTGCATACGTTTGCGCGCCCGCGTCCTCCACGGGCGGGCGGGGAGGTGGACTGAGTCCGGGCCCCAGCACTCACCTCCGAAGCCGCCGCCGTGGTCGTCGTAGTCGTGGTGGGGGCGGGGCTGGGGGCGGGGCCGCGGCGGAGGGCGGGGCTGAGGCGGGGGGCGGGGCCGCGGCGGCGGGTAGACTTCTGCGGGGTCAGAGCACACGCGGGTGCTTACGGAGCGGTAACTCGGTACTGGGAGCCGACTCGGCGAGGACTGAGCCCTCAGCACCCTGGGGACTGAGCTACGAGCACCCAGCATAAAAAACTATCCTGGCTGCAACCCTGGCGAGGACTGAGCCCTCAGCACCCTGCAGACTGAGCTTCCAGCACCCCAGAGAATAAAGTATCATGGGAGCGACCCCGGCGAGGACTGAGTCCTGAGCACCCTGGGGACTGAGCTACAAGCACCCATTGGACTGAGCTTCCAGCACCCAGCATAAAAAAAATGTGGGAGTGACCCCCGCGAGGACTGAGCCCTCAGCACCCTGGGGACTGAGCTACCAGGACTCTGTGGACTGAGCTACAAGCACCCACACCCAGTGGACTGAGCTTCCAGCACCCAGTGGACTGAGCCACAAGCACCCAGTGGACTGAGCTTCCAGCACCCCACAGAATGCACTATCAGGGGAGCGACCCCGGCGAGGACTGAGCCCTCAGCACCCTGCGGACTGAGCCTCGAGCACCCGACTCACCTCCGCCGTGGGGGTCGGGGGCTGCCGGGTCCTGCGGGAGCTTCGGGTAGAGGCCTGGGGGGGGAGGGTCGGCGGGGGGGGGCCGGGGGGACTGAGCGCTCAGCACCCGCGCAGGCCCCCGGGGCAGCGAAGGGACCAGAGGGACTGAGCGGCCAGCACCGCAGCAACCGAGCAACGAGCACCTTAACCCAGCAACCAAGCGACCGGCACCTCCCCCACCCCAAAAACAACCGAGCGACAAGCACCTCACCTCAGCAACCGAGCGACCAGCACCTCCCTCACCCAATAAGTAAGCATCAAGCACCTCCCTCACCCCTCACCCCAGCAACCGAGTAACAAGCACCTCCCTCACCCCAGGAACCGAGCGACAAGCACCTCCTCACCTCAGCAACAACCGAGCAACAAGCACCTCCCTCACCACAACAACCGAGCGACAAGCACCTCCCTCACCCAATAACTAAGCAGCAACCGAGTAACAAGCACCTCCCTCACCCCAGCAAACAACCGAGCGACAAGCACCTCCCTCACCCAATAACTAAGCAACAAGCACCTCCCTCACCACAGCAACCGAGCAACAAGCACCTCCCCCACCCCCAAAAAAAACCGAGCATCAAGTACCTCGACCCAGCAACCGAGCAACAAGTACCTCCCTCACCCAATAACTAAGCATCAAGCACCTCCTCCCTCATCCCAACAACCGAGCGACCAGCACCTCCCTCTCCCCAACCACCCAGCCACCAGCACCCCCCCCCACCCGCGGGGCCCCCCCCGCCTCCCCCCCGCGCCCGTCCCTCCCGGGGGGGGGGGGGGTCCCTGACGTCACTCACCCCCGCTGGGCTTCGAGGTGGGTTCTGGGGAAGACGGGGGGAAAAAAATAAAAATAACAACCGAGCACTAAGCACCCAGGACGCACGTTTTTTTTTTCTGAGTCCCGGGGGGGGGGGGGGGGGTACTCAGCACCGCCGGGTACTGACTCACCGGGGTCGTCCAGGGCGTCGGCGAGGTCGAAGTCCCCGTCGCCGGCTGCGGGGGGGGGGGGGAGAAAGTCCGGGCGGGGTGACGTCACCGCCGACTGGCACCATCCCCACCCCCCAAGCCCCGCCGACAACCGGAAAAACCAGAAACACCAGCCCGGGGCGTCCCGGGTGGGGGGGGGGGGAGGGGGGGGCCGCCCCGCCAGAATAAAAGTCCCCGGACCCGCCCGCCCCGGACCCGGACCCGGACCCGGGCGCGACTTTTTTATTTTTTTTAAATTTTTTTTGAAATTTTGAAATTTTGAAATTTTGCAAATTTTGAAATTTTTCGAATTTTCAATTTTTTTTTTTTTTTTTGGGAAATTCCGAATGTCCGGCCCGGGTTCGAGAGGTTTTTTTTTTTCCCCCCCACGTCGGGATTTGGGGGGGCGGGGCTTCTCGGACCCGCGTCCGCCCGTCCGTCCCCCGAGTCGGTTCGGGGTTCGATTCTATTTTTTTTTCTTGGACGTGGAGGCCGCGGAATTTCAATTTTTAATATTTTTGTTCTTTTTTTTTTTCGGATTTTCATCACGTTTGTTTTTTTAAATTCAAATTTTGGGTTTTTTTTTTCTGAATTTTCGTTTTCGATTTTTTTTTTCTGAAATTCTCAAATTCTAATTTTGTGTTTCCGTCTCGTTTTCTTTTTTTTTAAATTCAAATTTTTGTTTTTTCTGGATTTTGGTTTCGATTTTTTTTTTTTTTAATTCTCAGATTCTAATTTTCTTTCTCAGATTTTCATTATTTTATTTTATTTTTTTTTTTGGGAAAAAATTCTCCTTCCGTCCCGCGGACTCGGCGTCGCGGGTTTCGGATTTTCGTTTCTTTTCCTTTTTTTTCTAATTTTAAAAATTCGGATTTCGTCCCCGAGTCCGCTGAGTCCCCGCGGGCTTCTTTTTTATTTTTTAATTTGACTCTCGCTGTTTCAGGAATTCGAATTTCCTGAAGGTCGCGCGGATTTCTTTTCGGGTGTCGCTCTGTTTATTTTTTATTTTTTAAAATTTTTTTTTTCTAATTTTTCGATTTAAAAAGAAAAAAACCCGGCCGGATTTTAGTTTCAATTCAATCTAAATTTAATTTTTAATTTTAATTTTAATTCAATTCAAATTTGATTTTTTTGATTCTAATGTTTCCGAATTTCGGTTTTAAAAAATAAAAAATTTTACGATTTAAAGAAAAAAAATTTTTTCCGATTTAAAAAAAATAAATAAATTTCTCCGATTTGAAATAAAAAAAAACCAAAAAAAATTTCCAACAACAGAATCAAAATTTTTAATTTTGAAAAATTTCGGAATTTCCAAATTTCATTTTGGGTTTTTTTTTTCTCTCCCTCCCGCCCCGCCCCCCCGCGACCCCCCGCGACCCCCCACCCGGCCCGTGACGTCACCGGTGACGTCACCGCCCCCCCTCCACCACCACCCCCCCCCCCCCCCCCCCGGTCCCCCCAGCGCGCGCCTGGGTGGGAAAACTCCGGGCTCAGGGTGCTGGGTGCTCAGTCCTCCTCCCCCCCCCACCAGCCTTCCCCCCCCCCCCCCCCCGTCCCGACTCACCCCGCGCCCCCGCCAGCAGCACCCAAAGCAGCAGCAGCAGCACCGGCGGCGCCCGCGGGGTCGTCATCCTCCTGGGTGCTGGGTGCTCAGTCCCCCCCGCTGGGCGCCGACGGCGGCGGCGGCGGCGGCTGCTCCCGAGGCCCCCGGGTTGGGACACTGAGGCTCCGTGGGAAAGTCCGCGCGCGGGGGGTGGGGTGGGGGGGGCGGGGCCGCCCGCGGGGTGCTGGGGACTGAGTACTCCGACCGGCTGGGCCGGGCGTGTTAGGACCCGACGGGAATGTCCCAGGGTGCAGTGGGCGGGGCGGGGGGGGGGGACGCCGGGGTGGGGACGCCAGGGCGGCGGCGGGACGGAGGGACTGAGCACCCAGCACCTGACTGAGCACCAGGCACCGGGACTGAGCACCAGGACTGAGCACCGGGACTGAGCACCGGGACTGAGCACCGGGACTGAGCACCAGGCACCGGGACTGAGCACAGGGACTGAGCACCAGGCACTGGGACTGAGCACCAGGCACCAGGACTGAGCACCGGGGACTGAGCACCAGGACTGAGCACCGGGACTGACCACCAGGGACTGAGCACCAGGCACCGGGACTGAGCACCGGGACTGAGCACCGGGACTGAGCACCAGGCACCAGGACTGAGCACCAGGCACCGGGACTGAGCACCAGGCACCGGGACTGAGCACCGGGCACCAGGACTGAGCACCGGGACTGAGCACCAGGCACCGGGACTGAGCACCGGGACTGAGCACCAGGCACCGGGACTGAGCACCGGGACTGAGCACCGGGACTGAGCACCAGGCACCGGGACTGAGCACCGGGACTGAGCACCAGGCACCGGGACTGAGCACCAGGACTGAGCACCAGGCACCGGGACTGAGCACCAGGACTGAGCACCGGGACTGAGCACCGGGACTGAGCACCAGGACTGAGCACTAGGACTGAGCACCGGGACTGAGCACCGGGACTGAGCACCAGGCACCAGGACTGAGCACCAGGCACCGGGACTGAGCACCGGGACTGAGCACCGGGACTGAGCACCGGGACTGAGCACCAGGACTGAGCACTAGGACCGAGCACCGGGACTGAGCACCGGGACTGAGCACCGGGACTGAGCACCAGGCACCAGGACTGAGCACCAGGCACCGGGACTGAGCACCGGGACTGAGCACCGGGACTGAGCACCGGGACTGAGCACCAGGACTGAGCACTAGGACCGAGCACCGGGACTGAGCACCGGGACTGAGCACCGGGACTGAGCACCAGGCACCGGGACTGACCACCAGGCACCGGGACTGAGCACCGGGACTGAGCACCGGGACTGAGCACCGGGACTGAGCACCAGGCACCGGGACTGAGCACCAGGCACCAGGACTGAGCACCGGGACTGAGCACTGGGACTGAGCACCGGGACTGAGCACCGGGACTGAGCACCAGGACTGAGCACCGGGACTGAGCACCGGGACTGAGCACCGGGACTGAGCACCGGGACTGAGCACCAGGCACCGGGACTGAGCACCAGGCACCAGGATCTGAGCACCGGGACTGAGCACCGGGACTGAGCACCGGGACTGAGCACCAGGACTGAGCACCGGGACTGAGCACCAGGCACCGGGACTGAGCACCGGGACTGAGCACAGGGACTGAGCACCGGGACTGAGCACCAGGCACCGGGACTGAGCACCAGGACTGAGCACCGGGACTGAGCACCAGGACAGAGCACCGGGACTGAGCACCGGGACTGAGCACCAGGATCTGAGCACCGGGACTGAGCACCAGGACTGAGCACCAGGCACCGGGGACTGAGCACCAGGACTGAGCACCAGGACTGAGCACCGGGACTGAGCACCAGGCACCAGGACTGAGCACCGGGACTGAGCACCGGGACTGAGCACCGGGACTGAGCACCGGGACTGAGCACCAGGACTGAGCACCGGGACTGAGCACCCAGGCACCGGGGACTGAGCACCGGGACTGAGCACAGGGACTGAGCACCGGGATCTGAGCACCAGGCACCGGGACTGAGCACCGGGACTGAGCACCGGGACTGAGCACCAGGACAGAGCACCGGGACTGAGCACCGGGGACTGAGCACCAGGACTGAGCACCGGGACTGAGCACCAGGACTGAGCACCAGGCACCGGGACTCGAGCACCAGGACTGAGCACCAGGACTGAGCACCGGGACTGAGCACCAGGCACCAGGGACTGAGCACCGGGACTGAGCACCGGGACTGAGCACCGGGACTGAGCACCGGGACTGAGCACCAGGCACCGGGACTGAGCACCGGGACTGAGCACCAGGCACCGGGACTGAGCACCAGGACTGAGCACCAGGATTGAGCACCGGGACTGAGCACCGGGACTGAGCACCAGGACTGAGCACCAGGACTGAGCACCAGGCACCGGGACTGAGCACGAGGACTGAGCACCGGGACTGAGCACCAGGACTGAGCACCAGGCACCGGGACTGAGCACCAGGACTGAGCACCGGGACTGAGCACCGGGACTGAGCACCAGGACTGAGCACTAGGACTGAGCACCGGGACTGAGCACCAGGACTGAGCACCGGGACTGAGCACCAGGCACCGGGACTGAGCACCGGGACTGAGCACCAGGCACCGGGACTGAGCACCGGGACTGAGCACCGGGACTGAGCACCAGGCACCAGGACTGAGCACCAGGACTGAGCACCGGGACTGAGCACCGGGACTGAGCACCAGGACTGAGCACCAGGACTGAGCACCAGGCACCGGGACTGAGCACCAGGCACCGGGACTGAGCACCAGGGACTGAGCACCAGGCACCGGGACTGAGCACGAGGACTGAGCACCGGGACTGAGCACCGGGACTGAGCACCGGGACTGAGCACCGGGACTGAGCACCAGGACTGAGCACCGGGACTGAGCACAGGGACTGAGCACCAGGCACCGGGACTGAGCACGAGGACTGAGCACCGGGACTGAGCACCGGGACTGAGCACCGGGACTGAGCACCAGGCACCGGGACTGAGCACCGGGACTGAGCACCGGGACTGAGCACCGGGACTGAGCACCAGGCACCGGGACTGAGCACCGGGACTGAGCACCGGGACTGAGCACCGGGACTGAGCACCAGGACTGAGCACCAGGACTGAGCACCGGGACTGAGCACCGGGACTGAGCACCAGGACTGAGCACCAGGCACAGGGACTGAGCACCGGGACTGAGCACCAGGTACCGGGACTGAGCGCACCGGGACTGAGCACCAAGACTGAGCACCGGGAGGCACCGGGACTGAGCACCAGGCACCAGGACTGAGCACCAGGACTGAGCACCAGGCACCGGGACTGAGCACCAGGACTGAGCACCAGGACTGAGCACCAGGACTGAGCACCAGGACTGAGCACCAGGACTGAGCGCCGGGACTGAGCACCGGGACTGAGCACCGGGACTGAGCACCGGGACTGAGCACCAGGACTGAGCACCAGGACTGAGCACCAGGCACCGGGACTGAGCACCAGGACTGAGCACCAGGCACAGGGACTGAGCACCGGGACTGAGCACCAGGCACCGGGACTGAGCACCGGGACTGAGCACCGGGACTGAGCACCAGGCACCGGGACTGAGCACCAGGACTGAGCACCGGGACTGAGCACCGGGACTGAGCACCGGGACTGAGCACCGAGACTGAGCACCGGGACTGAGCACAGGGACTGAGCACCAGGACTGAGCACAGAGCACCGGGACTGAGCAAGCACCGGGACTGAGCACCTGAGCACCAGGACTGAGCACCAGGCAGACTGAGCCGGGACTGAGCACCGGGACTGAGCACCGGGACTGAGCACCGGGACTGAGCACCAGGACTGGCACCGGGACTGAGCACCAGGCACAGGGACTGAGCACCGGGACTGAGCACCAGGTACCGGGAGGACTGAGCGCCGGGACTGAGCGCCGGGACTGAGCACCAAGACTGAGCACCAGGCACCGGGACTGAGCACCAGGACTGAGCGCCGGGACTGAGCACCAGGACTGAGCACCAGGCACCGGGACTGAGCACCGGGACTGAGCACCAGGCACCGGGACTGAGCACCGGGACTGAGCACCGGGACTGAGCACCAGGCACCGGGACTGAGCACCAGGACTGAGCACCGGGACTGAGCACCGGGACTGAGCACCGGGACTGAGCACCGACCGGGACTGAGCACCGGGACTGAGCACCAGGACTGAGCACCAAGCACCGGGACTGAGCACCGGGACTGAGCACCGGGACTGAGCACCGGGACTGAGCACCAGGCACCGGGACTGAGCACCAGGACTGAGCACCAGGACTGAGCACCGGGACTGAGCACCAGGACTGAGCACCAGGCACCGGGACTGAGCACCAGGCACCAGGACTGAGCACCGGGACTGAGCACCGGGACTGAGCACCAGGACTGAGCACCAGGACTGAGCACCGGGACTGAGCACCGGGACTGAGCACCGGGACTGAGCACCAGGCACCGGGACTGAGCACCAGGACTGAGCACCGGGCACCGGGACTGAGCACCGGGACTGAGCACCGGGACTGAGCACCGGGACTGAGCACCAGGACACCAGGACTGAGCACCGGGACTGAGCACCGGGACTGAGAGCACCGGGACTGAGCACCGGGACTGAGCACCACTGAGCACCGGGACTGAGCACCGGGACTGAGCACCGGGACTGAGCACCAGGACTGAGCACCGGGACTGAGCACCGGGACTGAGCACACAGGGACTGAGGGACTGAGCACCAGGCACCGGGACTGAGCACCGGGACTGAGCACCGGGACTGAGCACCAGGCACCGGGACTGAGCACCAGGACTGAGCACCGGGACTGAGCACCGGGACTGAGCACCGGGACTGAGCACCGAGACTGAGCACCGGGACTGAGCACCGGGACTGAGCACCAGGACTGAGCACCAAGCACCGGGACTGAGCACCGGGACTGAGCACCGGGACTGAGCACCGGGACTGAGCACCAGGGACTGAGCACCAGGCACCGGGACTGAGCACCGGGACTGAGCACCAGGCACCGGGACTGAGCACCAGGCACCGGGACTGAGCACCGGGACTGAGCACCGGGACTGAGCACCAGGACTGAGCACCAGGACTGAGCACCAGGACTGAGCACCGGGACTGAGCACCGGGACTGAGCACCAGGCACCGGGACTGAGCACCAGGCACCGGGACTGAGCACCGGGACTGAGCACCAGGACTGAGCACCGGGACTGACCGGGACTGAGCACCAGGACTGAGCACCGGGACTGAGCACCGGGACTGAGGGACTGAGAGCACCGGGACTGAGCACCGGGACTGAGCACCGGGACTGAGCACCGGGACTGAGGGACTGAGCACCAGGACTGAGCACCGGGACTGAGCACCGGGACTGAGCACCAGGGGACTGAGCACCGGGACTGAGCACCGGGACTGAGCACCAGGACTGAGCACCAGGCACCGGGACTGAGCACCAGGACTGAGCACCGGCACTGAGCACTGAGCACCGGGACTGAGCACCGGGACTGAGCACCGGGACTGAGCACCGGGACTGAGCACCAGGACGGGACTGAGAGCACCGGGACTGAGCACCGGGACTGAGCACCAGGCACCGGGACTGAGCACCGGGACTGAGCACCGGGACTGAGCACCGGGACTGAGAGCACCGGGACTGAGCACCAGGACTGAGCACCGGGACTGAGCACCGGGACTGAGCACCAGGACTGAGCACCGAACCAGGACTGAGGGACTGAGCACCAGGACTGAGCACCGGGACTGAGCACCAGGCACCGGGACTGAGCACCGGGACTGAGCACCAGGCACCGGGACTGAGCACCACCGGGACTGAGCACCAGGCACCGGGACTGAGCACCAGGACTGAGCACCGGGACTGAGCACGGGACTGAGGGACTGAGCACCAGGACTGAGCACCAGGCACCGGGACTGAGCACCAGGCACCAGGACTGAGCACCGGGACTGAGCACCGGGACTGAGCACCAGGACTGAGCACCGGGACTGAGTACCGGGACTGAGCACCGGGACTGAGCACCAGGACTGAGCACCAGGCACCGGGACTGAGCACCAGGCACCAGGACTGAGCACCGGGACTGAGCACCGGGACTGAGCACCAGGACTGAGCACCGGGACTGAGCACCAGGACTGAGCACCGGGCACCGGGACTGAGCACCAGGACTGAGCACCGGGACTGAGCACCAGGACTGAGCACCAGGACTGAGCACCGGGACTGAGCACCGGGACTGAGCACCGGGACTGAGCACCAGGCACCGGGACTGGGCACCGGGACTGAGCACCAGGGACTGAGCACCAGGCACCGGGACTGAGCACCGGGACTGAGCACCAGGACTGAGCACCGGGACTGAGCACCGGGACTGAGCACCGGGACTGAGCACCGGGACTGAGCACCGGGACTGAGCACCGGGACTGAGCACCAGGACTGAGCGCCAGGACTGAGCACCAGGCACCGGGACTGAGCACCGGGACTGAGCACCAGGACTGAGCACCAGGCACCGGGACTGAGCACCGGGACTGAGCACCGGGACTGAGCACCGGGACTGAGCACCAGGACTGAGCACCGGGACTGAGCACCTGAGGGACTGAGCACCGGGACTGAGCACCAGGACTGAGCACCAGGCACCGGGACTGAGCACCAGGACTGAGCACCGGGACTGAGCACCGGGACTGAGCACCGGGACTGAGCACCAGGACTGAGCACCAGGCACCGGGACTGAGCACCGGGACTGACCACCAGGACTGAGCACCGGGACTGAGCACCAGGACTGAGCACCGGGACTGAGCACCGGGACTGAGCACCAGGACTGAGCACCAGGACTGAGCACCGGGACTGAGCACCGGGCACCAGGACTGAGCACCGGGACTGAGCACCGGGACTGAGCACCGGGACTGAGCACCAGGACTGAGCACCGGGACTGAGCACCGGGACTGAGCACCAGGACTGAGCACCAGGACTGAGCACCGGGACTGAGCACCAGGCACCAGGACTGAGCACCGGGACTGAGCACCGGGACTGAGCACCGGGACTGACCACCAGGACTGAGCACCGGGACTGAGCACCGGGACTGAGCACCGGGACTGAGCACCGGGACTGAGCACCAGGCACCGGGACTGAGCACCGGGACTGAGCACCAGGACTGAGCACCAGGCACCGGGACTGAGCACCGGGACTGAGCACCGGGACTGAGCACCGGGACTGAGCACCAGGACTGAGCACCGGGACTGAGCACCGGGCACCAGGACTGAGCACCGGGACTGAGCACCGGGACTGAGCACCAGGCACCGGGACTGAGCACCGGGCACCAGGACTGAGCACCAGGCACCGGGACTGAGCACCAGGGACTGAGCACCGGGACTGAGCACCGGGACTGAGCACCGGGACTGAGCACCGGGACTGAGCACCGGGACTGAGCACCAGGACTGAGCACCGGGACTGAGCACCGGGCACCAGGACTGAGCACCGGGACTGAGCACCGGGACTGAGCACCGGGACTGAGCACCAGGCACCGGGACTGAGCACCGGGACTGAGCGACCTGCCAATCAGCTGTGATGACGTCATGTTGGGGCGAAGGGGGGATGACGTCATGTGGGGGACCTGCCAATTACCTGGGATGACGTCATGTCGGGGCGATGGGGGATGACGTCATGTCGGGCCCAGGGGGCGGGGTCCGGCCACGCCCCGCCCCCGGCTGTCCATCATCCCTCGGCCCCGCCCTCTTGGGGCGACTGTGGACTTGGGGACCGGAAGTGGGCCTCGAAGCGGAAGTCCCGCCCTCCTGGGCGTGGCCTCCCCTCACGGCTGTCCGTCAGGCGCAGAGCACAGGAAGTGCGGACCGGGCACCGGAAGTCCCGCCCCCGGGCCGGGATGGACAAGCGCATCCGACTCTGTGTGTGTGCCTCGGCCCAGAACAGGAAGTGGGGGAACCGGGAACCGGAAGTCCTGCCCCCGGCCTCCCGTCCGTCACGCCAGGCCACGCCTCCGCCCTGTGATTGACAGGGAGGCCGACTCTGTGTTCCTCCACCTAGAACAGGAAGTGGGGGGACCGGGAACCGGAAGTCCTGCCCCCGACCTCCCGCCCGTCACCCCGGGCCCCGCCTCCCCGCTGTGATTGACAAGAGGCTCAAACTCTCCGTGTTCCTTGGCCCAGAACAGGAAGTGGGGGAATGGGAACCGGAAGCTCTGCCTCCGACCTCCCGTCCGTCACCCCAGGCTCCGCCTCCCCGCTGTGATTGACAGGGAAAACGAGACTCTCCGTATTCCTCGGCCCAGAACAGGAAGTGGGGGGACCGGGAACCGGAAGTCCTGCCTCCGACCTCCCGCCCGTCACCCCGGGCCCCGCCTCCGCCCAGTGATTGACAGGGAGACCCAAACGTCTTCGTCTTCCTCGTCCCAGAACAGGAAGTGGAGGGACCAGGCACCGGAAGTCCTGCCCCCGGCCTCCCGTCCGTCACGCCAGGCCCCGCCTCCCCGCTGTGATTGACAGGGAGGCCGAAGCTCCGCGTTTTTCCTTCCCGAAACAGGAAGTGGGGGTCCATGGCCCACAGGAAGCCCCGCCCTCCCGTCAGTCACCCCCCCCAGTCCACGCCCCCCGCACCGTGATTGACAGGCCGCACACACACACACACACACAGACCCCGCCTGGGGCTCAAACACCTTTTATTTATTTTACTTCCTGCCGCTTCCGGTTCTCCCGGCCCCGCCCCTTCCTGTCTGTCCCCGGGGGGGCGTGGCCCGGGCTCCCGGCATGCCCCGGACAGCCGGTCGGGGGTTCAAACCTCAGGGCGGGGGGTCACGCGGGGTCACGGGGGCGGGGCCGGGATCCCTCGGGGCCCCGTGACCGGAAGTCCCGCCCTCGGGGAGTCAAAGAAAGCGCTGGGCGGCATGATTGGCAGCTGGGGCGGTGGACGGACATCCCAGCGCCCGGGAGAAAAGGGGCGGGGCCAAGGCTCTGGAGACCGGAAGTCCCGCCCCGGCGGGATTAAATGAAGCCCAGGGCGGGATGATGGGCAGCCGGAGACCGGAAGTCCCGCCACGGAGGGATTCAATGAAGCCCAGGGCGGGATGATTGGCAGCTGGGATGACACGTCGACCGCTGGAGACCGGAAGTCCCGCCCCGGAGGGATTCAATGAAGCCCAGGGCGGGATGATTGGCAGCTGGGATGACACGTCGACCGCTGGAGACCGGAAGTCCCGCCCCGGCGGGATTAAATGAAGTCCAGGGCGGGATGATTGGCAGCTAGGATGATACGTAGACAGCTGGGGGCGGGGCCTAAAAGCTGGAGACCGGAAGTCCCGCCCCGGCGGGATTAAATGAAGCCCAGGGCGGGATGATGGGCAGCTGGGGACCGGAAGTCCCGCCCCGGAGGGATTAAATGAAGCCCAGGGCGGGATGATTGGCAGCTGGGGAGAGGGGGCGGGGCCGAGACCCTCGGGACAGGAAGTCCCGCCCCCTTTGGCTTGAGATAAAACTCAGGGTTCGCGGGGAGGAAAGTCCCGCCCCCGGCGCGGTGACGGGCGGCCAGGGCGATGGATGGACACCCGCGGGGCGGGGGCGGGGCCCAGGGACCGGAAGTGGCACCGCGGGAAGTCCCGCCCCCGGCGCGGTGACGGGCGGCCAGGTCGTCCAGGAGACGGGGGCGTGGCCGCCGACGTCACGGGGGGCGGGGTCCGGGGCGTCTGTTCCGGGCACCGAGTCCGAGCACCCGGCCGGCCGCGGGGCCTCACGGGACGTCACGGCCGCCGGCGCCGCGGGGGGCGGGGCCTACACGGGGGCGGGGCCTGGAGGGGGGAACCGGAAGTGGGTGTGGGGTGAGTCGGGAAAAGAGACCGGAAGTCCCGCCCTCAGGCCGTGACGGACGGGCCCGGGGACCGGAAGTCGGGATGACGTCACCCGGGGAGACCCGAAGACCCTCCCCTCACCGCTGTCTTCCCCGGAAGCCCCGCCCTCCTGCTGTGACGGACAGGCCCCGAACCGGAAGTCGGGGTGACGTCATCCAGGGAAAGAAACCAGAAGCCCCGCCCTCCAGCGGTGACGGGCAGTCCGGAACCGGAAGTGGTGGTGCCACCACCGGGGGGAGTGAAACCGGAAGCCCCGCTCCTTTCCCCCGCTGACGTCACCCCAGAAGCCCCGCCCTCCCACCGTGACGGACAGCCCCGAACCGGAACTCGGGATGATGTCAGACGGGGAAACCGGAAGCCCCGCCCTCCCACCGTGAGTGACAGCCCCGCAGGCCGGAAGTGGGGCTGCTGTCGCCCAGGGAACCCGGAAGCCCCGCCCCCCGCCCCCATTGATCCGGAAGTGGGCGTGCCCCGCCGCTCACCCGGCTCCGGAAGCCCCGCCCCCGCCCCGCCGTGACGGGCAGCCCCGCCCCCGTCCCGGAAGCCCCGCCCCGGAAGCTCACCCGCGCCGTCCCGGAAGCAGAGACGCCGGCGCCGATAGGCCAGGAAGCTGGAGACGCCGCCCGCCAGCGCCGCCGCCGCGGCCGCCACGAGCCCGGGGACCAGGCCCTGCGGGGGGGCTGCGGGGGGGCGGGGGGGGGTGCTCAGGGCTCGGTCCTCACCGCTGGGGGCTCGGTACTTGGGGTGCTGGGCGTGATGAGTGCTCGGTGCTCAGTGCATGGGGTGCTGGGTGCTCGGTACTTAGTGGTTAGGGCTCGGTGCTTGGGGTGCTGGGGGTGCTGAGTGCTCGGTGCTCAGCGCGTGGGTGCTGGGTGCTCAGTACTGAGTGCACGAGGTGCTGCATGCTCGGTACTGAGTGGTTAGGGCTCGGGACTTGGGGTGCTGGGGGTCATGAGTGCTCGGTGCTCAGCGCGTGCGGTGCTGGGGGCTCGGTACTTAGTGATTAGGACTCAGTACTTAGTGCTCGGGGTGCTGGGGGCTCGGTACTGAGTGCGCGAGGTGCTGCATGCTCGGTACTGAGTGGTTAGGACTCGGTACTTGGGGTGCTGGGCGTGATGAGTGCTCGGTGCTCAGCGCGTGCGGTGCTGGGTGCTCGGTACTTAGTGATTAGGACTCAGTACTTAGTGCTCAGGGTGCTGGGGGCTCAGGGCTCAGTGGTTCATTAGCACTTCGTCTCTAGGGTGCTGGGTGCTTAGTAGGCAGTGATTAGTACCGAGTGCTCGGGCTGCTGGGGGCTCAGTACTGAGCGATTAGGACTCAGTACTTGGGGTGCTGGGGGCTCAGTAGGCGGCGATTAGTACCGAGAGCTCGGGGTGCTGGGAACTCAGTCCGGGGGGGGCGGATTAGTCTTTAGGGTGCTGGGTGCTGAGCACATGGTGATTAGTACTCGGGGTGCCGGGTGCTGATTAGTGCATAGCGTTGAGTGCTGGGTGCTCAGTACACAGCGTCGCGCGCGCCCTGGGTGCTGGCGCTGAGTCCCGGCGGGCGCCGCGCGACGTTAGTGCTCGGTGCTCGGTGCTCCGGGCGCGGCTTAGGCAGCGGTTAGCGGCGGGGGTGCTGGGGGCTCGGTGCTCGGCCGGTACCTGCCGGGTCGGGCGCGTCGCTCCGGGGACCTTCGCCTCGGCCGCCAACGCCGCCTGCAAGGGAAGGGGCGGGTGCTGCGCACGGTACTTACCACGGCACACGGCGGGGAGGGGGGGGGGTTGGGGTGCTGTGCAGAGTGACGTGGGTGCTGCGCACGGTACTTACACCATGCACACAGTGGGGCGGGTGCTGCGCACAGTACTTTCTGATGCACACAGTGCAGTGGGTGCTGCGCACAGTACTTGCTGATGCGCACAGTGAAGTGGGTGCTGCGCACGGTACTTACTGATGCACACAATCAAGTGGGTGCTGCGCACAGTACTTACTGGCGCCCACAGCGGGGAGGGTGCTGCGCACAGTACTTACTGGCGCCCACAGCGGGGAGGGTGCGGCGCACAGTACGACTGATGCGCGCACAGCGGGGAGGGGGCGGGGCCTGTGTGTGGTGACGTCAGGGGGCGGGGCATCAGTGGATGACGTCAGTGGTTGGGGGCAGTGACTGACGGACGGGCAGCTTCAGGGACGTCCGGGGGGCGGGGCAATGGCGGATGACGTCACGGGGCGGGGCTTATGCGCGCGGATGACGTCAGGGGGCAGGGCAATGGCGGGTGACTTCATGGGGCGGGGCTAATGCGCGCGGTGACGTCAGTGGGCGGGGCTTACCGCGTCCCCCGGCCGCGTCCTCGAGGTCCGAGTTGGAGAAGTCGCCTGGGGGGGGGGGGGGGGGAGAGGGGTGACGTCATCGCCCGGGGAGGGGCGATTTGCATACATTAGAATACCGGGGCCGGCGCGTTAGCATACATTAGCATAACCCGCACAGGAAACAGACCGGCTCATTAGCATGCATTAGCATAAGGCAGGGCAGATTGAAGGGCCGAGGCAGGCCGGCTCATTAGCATAAACCAGAATAGACTGTCAAGAAAACAGCCCTCATTAGCATAAATTAGAACACACCAAGACGACATGCCGGCTCATTAGCATAAATTAGAATAAACCAAGACGAAGGGCGGCTCATTAGCATACATTAGAAAAAACCAAGAAGACAGGCCGGCTCATTAGCATACATTAGCATGACCCGTCCCTGACTGACGGACAGCCGCGGGGGCGGGGCCCCGAGGAGGCCAGGCAGCCGTGACGGACAGGTGCAGGCAGGGAGGGTGGGGCCGGGGGAATGAGTGACGGGCCAGGGGGCGGGGCCGGGGCCGTGACGGACAGGGCAGGGCCCAGGCCTCATTGACAGGCGTGAAGGGGGAAATGCAAATCAGCCGGGGCGGATTAGCATATTCCCGAGTTCATGAGCCGGGACCCGGCCGGATTTGCATATGTTAAAGCGGACAAGCTGATTAGCATACAGGACACAGACCAGCACGGGGCCTCATTAGCATGCAGCGTCCGATTTGCATACGCCGGGCCTCATTAGCATACATGAAAGGAAATAGAGGTAAAGGGGATCCAATTTGCATATCCCTGAATAAACGAGCCTAGACGGGGCCTCATTAGCATGCGTCAGCCTCATTAGCATACACCAAGGGAACCAGAGGTCCATCAGGCCCCATTAGCATATTCCTGAGTCAACGCGCATAATCAGGTCGTGATTAGCATTTAATCAGGCTCATTTGCATACGCCAAGGGAAATAAAGTTAAATCAGGTCCGATTTGCATATTCCTGAATAAACGAGCCTCGATGGGGCCTCATTAGCATACACCAGGCCTCATTAGCATACAAGGAAGGGAATAGAGGTCAATCAGGTCCAATTTGCGTATTTCCCAATTAACGAGCCTCGATGGGGCCTCATTAGCATAAATCACACCTCATTAGCATACACAGAAGGGAATAGAGGTCAATCAGGTCCAATTTGCATATTTCCCAATTAACGAGCCTTGATGGGGCCTCATTTGCATACATGACAAGAAATGCAAACGAATCAGCCCCACTTAGCATATTTCTCAGTAAAAGGACCCTGGGCCCGGCCTCATTAGCATACACCAGGAAATAGAGGTCAATGGGACCCAATTTGCATATTTCTCAATCAACGAGCCTCGATGGGGCCTCGTTGGCATACATCACGTCTCATTAGCATACGTTAAAGGAAATCGCGGTCAATCAGGTCCAATTAGCATATTTCTCAATTTTCGAACCTAGGTTCATTAGCATAAGTCACGTCTCATTAGCATACGTGGAAGGGAACAGAGGTCCATCAGGTCTTATTAGCATATTCCTGAATAAACGAGCCTCGTTGGGGCCTCATTAGCATAAATCAGGCCCCATTAGCATACAGCGGAGGAATCCAGCTGGGACGCGTTCTCATTAGCATACACCAGGCCTCGTCAGCATGCGTGAAAGGAAATAGAGGTCCATCAGGTCCAATTAGCATATTCCTGAACTAACGAGGCTCGATGGGGCCTCATTAGCATAAATCACGCCTCGTTAGCATGCGTGAAAAGAGATGCAAACGAACCCATTAGCATATTTCTCAATAAAGGACGCTGGGCCCGGCCTCGTTAGCATACACCAGGCCTCGTTAGCATACATTAAAGGAAATAGAGGTCAATGGGATCCAATTTGCATATTTCTCAATCAAGGAGCCTCGATGGGGCCTCATTAGCGTAAACCACGCCTCATTAGCATATGGGGGAAAAAGATGCAAATGGATCCATTAGCATATTTCTCAATCAACAAGCCCAGATGGGGCCTCATTAGCATAAATCAGGCCTCATTAGCATACATTAAAGGAAACAGAGGTCAATCAGGTCCAATTTGCATATTTCTCAATCAAGGAGCCTCGCTGGGGCCTCATTAGCATACATGAAAAAGATGCAAATGGATCCATTAGCATATTTCTCAATCAACGAGCCTCGATGGGCCCTCATTAGCATAAACCAGGCCTCATTAGCATAAACCAGGCCTCATTTGTATGCCCCGAGCGTCCTTAGCACCCCGCCAGGCTGAACCGGGCCTCATTTGCATAAATTAGCATGCGCTGGTCCCGGTGAGCCCTAATTAGCATGCGCCGAGCTTCCTGGGCGCCCCCTCATTTGCATACAGGACGGAAATGACGTCACGGGGCTGGACCCGCCCACGCTAGGCCTCATTTGCATGAACCAAGCCTCATTAGCATAGATCCCCACCCCCACCCCAGGGAGTCCCGCCTCCTCCTGACCTCCCGCGGGCCTGGAGTCCGGCTTCTGGGGGTCGCGGGGTCGCGGCGGCCGGGGCGCGGGCGGCGGGGGGTCTGCGGGGGGGAGGGGGGTGAAGGGGGGGTTCCCATCAGGGCCCCGGCGGAGGACTGAGTCCCAGCACCCGCCCACCAACATCTGGGCAGAGGACTCAGTCCCAGCACCCGCCCACATCACCAAAACCCATTATGCATGCAGAGGACTGAGTCCCAGCACCCATGTAGAGAGGACTGAGTCCCAGCACCCGCCCAGCCACTATGCATGCCGAGGACTGAGTCCCAGCACCCGCCCAGCCACTATGCATGCCGAGGACTGAGTCCCAGCACCCGCCCAGCCACTATGCATGCCGAGGACTGCGTCCCAGCACCCGCCCAGCCACTATGCATGCCGAGGACTGAGTCCCAGCACCCGCCCAGCCACTATGCATGCCGAGGACTGAGTCCCAGCACCCGCCCAGCCACTATGCATGCCGAGGACTGCGTCCCAGCACCCGCCCAACCACTATGCATGCTGAGGACTGAGTTTCCAGCACCCCGGGCGGCCCCGCCCCCCACCAGGCCCCGGGTCGGGCTCACCGTGTCCGCCCAGGGCGTCGCTCAGGTCCAGGTCGTCCCCGGCCCCGCCTCCTGCGGACACGGGGGGCGGGACAGGAAGTGGGTGGGTGGGGCCGGAAGTGGGGGGGTCGGGGACGGGAAGTGGGGGAATTTGGGAAGGACTGAGTCCCCAGCACCCACGGGGGGAAGGACTGAGTCCCCAGCACCCACAGGGGGAAGGACTGAGTCCCCAGCACCCACGGGACAGGAAGGATTGAGGGACGGGAAGTGGGACAGGAAGTGGGGGAGTCGGGGACGGGAAGCGGGGGAGTGGGGGACAGGAAGCGGGGGAGTGGGGGACAGGAAGCGGGGGAGTGGGGGACAGGAAGTGGGAGAGTCGGGGACGGGAAGCGGTGGAGTCGGGACAGGAAGTGGGACAGGAAGTGGGCGAGTGGGGGACGGGAAGTGGGACAGGAAGTGGGGGAGTCGGGATGGGAAGTGGGGGGTCGGGGACGGGAAGCGGGGGAGTCGGGGACGGGAAGTGGGATTTCAGGGACGGGAAGTGGAAGTTCTGGGACAGGAAGTGGAAGTTCAGGGACAGGAAGTGGAAGTTCAGGAATAGGAAGTGGAAGTTCAGGAACAGGAAGTGGAAATTGGGAGACAGGAATTGGGATTTCAGGGACAGAAAGTGGAAGTTCAGGGACAGGAAGTGAAAGTTCTGGGACAGGAAGTGGAAGTTCAGGGACGGGAAGTGGGAGTTCAGGGACAGGAAGTGTGAGGAATCGGGCTATGGCCGGTCTGGGGAGAGGAAGTGGGAGTCCAGGGACAGGAAGTGGGGATTTAGGAACAGGAAATGCAAATTCAAGGACAGGAAGCGAAAATTTGGAGGCAGGAAGTGGGAGTCCAGGGACAGGAAGTGGGAGGAGTCGGGCGATGGCCGGTCCCCGCTGCCTCGGTTTCCCCCCAGACGCCCCGCCGCCGACTCACCCGCGGGCTTCCTGGTCGGGACCCGGCTTCTTGGGGTCTGAGGAGGGGGAAAAGGAAATGAAACTTAAATTCCTCCTCGCGCCCCGCCTCCCGTTCTGGGGAATTTGAACTTTTAAATTTTATTTTTTTGGAAATTCTGATTCAATTTTATTTTTTTAATTTTTCTACAAAAATTTAGTTTTTTTTCGGTTTTCCTAGAAATTTTAACTCATTTCCCTGGGAATTTTAGTTTTGGGTTTTTCTTTTTTTACTTTTCCCGACGATTTCCTTTTTTTTAATTTTTCCTGGAAAAACCTCAGTTTCTAATTCTTGGTTTTTCTGGAAAAACCTAAATTTCTTACGGCAAATTTAGGTTTTGACCTGTTGGGTTTCTTCTCCAGGAAATTTTAATTTTTAAGTTTCCAAAGATTTTTCTCGGCTCAAAGGCTTCCACTTTCGACGCTGGTTTAAAAACGGAGCCGTCGACGGCCTTTTTCCGAGATGTATCTCGTCTCGTCCCCCGACCGGAAACAAAACGCAAAAAATTAAAATAAAAAAAAAAAATAAAGAAAAAAAAATTCTGATTTTTGGAAAATTAAAAAAAAAAAAAATTTAAATCCCAAAAAAAAGAAAAATTTGAATTTCTGGGAAAATTCAAAAAAATTTGGGATTTGAAGGGAAAACGCGGTCCGCGCTGGGAGGCGTCCCGGGCCCGTCCGTCCGTCCGTCCGTCCGTGTCCCCCCCCCCCCCCCCCCCCCCCCCCCCCCCCCCGACTCACCCTCGAGCGCATCCGAGAGATCGAAATCTGAAACGAAAAAGAAAACAAAAAAAAATTGAGTTTCAGACGAAAAAAGAAATTTCTAAATTTTTGGGTTGGTGGACTGAGTCCCCAGCACCCACGGGAGGGGAGGACTGAGTCCCCAGCACCCACGGGAGGGAAGGACTGAGTCCCCAGCACCCACGGGCACGAGAGAAACAGAGGAAACGCCGCCGGGGCGGTTTCCCCTGCTCATTTGCATAAATCACGCCCCCAATTTGCATAGGCAACGCCCTAAACCCCATAAAACCCATTTGATCCTCATTTGCATAGACCACGCCCCCCATTTGCATAGAGCCAGCCCTGTCCCCATAAAGACGGTTGGAGCCTCATTTGCATAGGCCTCGCCCCTTATTTGCATAGACCACGCCTCCCGACACTCATGAAACCGTTTTTTGGATCCTCGTTTACATAGACCACGCCCCTCATTTGCATAGAGCCAGCCCCCGTCCTCCATAAAGACGGTTGGAGCCTCGTTCGCATAGGCCACGCCCCTAATTAGCATAAGGCGGGCCTTAAAGGCGACTGGGTCCTCCTTTGCATAGGCCGCGCCCCTCGTTTGCATAGACCACGCCTCCCAACACCCATAAAACCGTTTTCGATTCTCATTTGCATAGGCCACGCCCTCATTTCCATAGAGCCAGCCCCCGTCCCCCATAAAGACGGCTGGAGCCTCATTTGCATAGGCCACGCCCTCATTTGCATGCACCCAGCCCCCGTCCTCCATGGAGACGGCTGGAGCCTCATTTGCATAGGCCACGCCCCTCATTTCCTTAGAGTCAGCCCCCGGCCCCATAAAGACGGTTGGAGCCTCGTTTGCATAGGCCACGCCCCTAATTAGCATAAGGCACGGCCGTCCTCGGCGCGGGCCACGCCCCCGGACCTCCAGGGAGACCCTCATGAATATTCGATGAGGGGGCGTGGCCCCCGCGGGCGTGGGGACGGCCGGGGGTGGGCGGGGCCCCGGGTCAAGCACAAGGCAGCAGGTTTTTAAAAGTCCTGGGTGCTTGACGCTCAGTCCCGGGTGCTCGGGGCTCAGTCCCTGGGGGCTTGGTACTTGGTGCTCAGTTCTGGGTGCTGGGTGCTCAGTCCTGGGGGCTCGGGGCTCAGCTCAGTCCCTGGGGGCTTGGTACTTGGTGCTCAGTTCTGGGTGCTCGGTGCTCAGTCCCGGTGCTGGGGGCTCAGTCCCTGGGTGCTTGGTGCTCAGTCCTGGTGCTCGGGGCTCAGTCGCGGGTGATTGCTGCTTAGGCTGGGTGCTGGGTGCTCGGTCCCGGGTGCTCGGTGCTTGTGCTGAGGGTGCTGGGTGCTCGGTTCCCCACGCTGCTCGCCGAGTCTCGGGTGCTCGGTGCTCAGTCCCGCCTGCTGGCAGCTCAGGCCGGGGGCTGGGTGCTCAGTCCTGGGTTCTGGGTGCTCAGCGCTCAGTCCACAGAGCTCAGTCCTGAGTCCCGGGTGCTGGGTGCTCGGTCCCGGGTGCTTGAGGCTCAGTCCCAGGTACTCGGTGCTCGGTTCTGGGTACTCAGCTCTCAGTCCCATGAATGAGTCCCGGGTGCTGGGTGCTCGGTCCCCGGGGCTCTTCTTGGCGACCGACTCCCGGGACACAGGTGGAAGGACTGAGCTTCAGCACCCGCCCGCGGAACTGAGTTCCCAGCACCCACGGGAGGGACCGAGTCCCAGCACCCCGCCCGGCAGCACCCGCGGCGCTGAGTCGGAGGCCCCGGGCCTTCCCGACCCCACCCGGGTGAGTCACCGCCGCGGGGCATCACGGGAGCCGCGCCCGGCCACGCCCACGCCTGGCCACGCCCACGCCCGGCCACGCCCCTCAGGCCACGCCCCCGGGTCGAAAAACCCTCCGGGCCCCGCCCACAGCGCCACTCACCCTCCAGGCCCCGCCCACAGTGCCACTCATCCTCCAGGCCCCGCCCACAGCGCCACTAACCCTCCAGGCCCCGCCCACAGTGCCACTCACGCCCCAGGCCCCGCCCCTCATCCCCCAGGCCCCGCCCACAGCGCCACTCACCCCCAGGCCCCGCCCCTCATCCCCCAGGCCCCGCCCCCGCCGCCATTAACACATAAACAAGAGCGAGGACGTGATGGACGGGCCGTTAGCGCGCCGGAGCGTGGCCACGCCCCTTCAGACCCCGCCCACGGTGCCAATCACCCTCCAGGCCCCGCCCCTCACCCCCAGGCCCCGCCCCCGGCCGAAATTAACAGATAAACAAGGGCGAGGACGTGATGGACGGACCGTTAGCGCTACGGGGCGTGGCCACGCCCCTCCAGACCCCGCCCACAGTGCCAATCACCCGCCAGGCCCCGCCCCTCGCCCCAGGCCCCGCCCCCGCCGCCATTAACAGATAAACAAGGGCGAGGACGTGATGGACGGGCCGTTAGGGCGCCGTGGGCGTGGCCAGGCCCTACCAGGGCCCCGCCCCTCTTCAGGCCCCGCCCCTCGTCCCCCAGGCCCCGCCCCTCGCCCCCAGGCCCCGCCCCCGCCGCCATTAACAGATAAACAAGGGCGAGGACGTGATGGACACTCCGTTAGCGCGCCGGGGCCGTGGCCACGCCCCACCAGGGCCCCGCCCACAGTGCCACTCACACTCCAGGCCCCGCCCCTCATCCCCCAGGCCCCGCCCCCGCCGCCATTATCAGATAAACAAGGGCGAGGACGTGATGGACGGGCCGTAACGGCGCCGGGGGCGTGGCCACGCCCCTCCAGGCCCCGCCCATAGTGCCACTCACCCTCCAGTCCCGCCCCTGGCCCACAGGCCCCGCCCCCGGCCGAAATTAACGAATAATCAAGAGCGAGGACGTGATTGACGGGCCGTTAGTGCGCCGGGGGCGTGGCCACGCCCCACCAGGGCCCCGCCCCTCCTCAGACCCCGCCCCTCGCCCCCCGAGGCCCCGCCCCCGTCGCCATTAACAGATAAACAAGAGCGAGGACGTGACGGACGGGCGGTGACGGCGCCGGGGAGTGACCACGCCCCTCCAGGGCCCCGCCCCTCGCCCCAGGCCCCGCCCCTCACCCCCAGGCCCCGCCCCCGGCCGAAATTAACGAATAATCAAGAGCGAGGACGTGACGGACGGGCCGTTAGAGCGCCGTGGACGTGGCCACGCCCCACCAGGCCCCGCCCCTCCTCAGACCCCGCCCCTCGCCCCCCGAGGCCCCGCCCCCCCAGGCCGGGTGGGGAATTCCCCCCCCCCCCCGCCACAAATAAAAAGCCAAAAATAAAAAAAAATCACGGCGGGGAAACCGGAAACGGCGCGACTTCCGGCCCGCGGGGCGGGGTTCGGGGGGACGGGGGGGATGGGGGGGACGACACACACCCTGCCGGGCGCCGCGGCCGGGGACTGACCGGGAACGGCGGCTCCCAGCCTGCACCGCGGCGGCGGCTCCCAGCCGCGCGCGAACTCCTACACGGCCCGCCGCGGCCCCGCGGGCCCCCGCCCAACCCAAAACTCCGGCCCGCGGGGCATGTCGGGAGTCGGGAGTCGCCCCGGGGGTCCCCCCGCCGTGACGCCCCGTGACCTCCCCCGTGACCCCCCCGTGACCCCCGCTCGCTCACCCTGGCCCCGGGCGCAGGCGCCGAGCAGCGCGAGCAGCGTGAGCAGCAGCGGCGGCGGCGGCATCGCGGCGGCCATGGCGGGGACGGACCAGCGGGGCGGGGCCTTCCGGGGGCGGGGCCTTCCGGGGGGCGGGGTCCGAGGACACGCCCACGGCCTTAGAGCGGACTGGCGGGCGGCTGCAGGGAGGGCGCGCTTCATTTGCATAAGCCACGCCCCTCGTCGGGCAGTTGAAGCGAGGGTTTGGCTCGTGGGCAGAAGCCACGCCCCGCGTCACAATGGCGGGCGGCGTGAGGCGAGGGCTTGCGTCATTTGCATTAGCCACGCCCCTCGTCGGAGTGGCGGGCGGTGTGAGGCGAGGGCTTGCGTCATTTGCATTAGCCACGCCCCTCGTCGGAGTGGCGGGCGGTGTGAGGCGAGGTCTTGCGTCATTTGCATTAGCCACGCCCCTCGCGGATTGGCGGGCGGCTGCAGTGATGACGCGCTTCATTTGCATAAACCACGCCCCTCAGACGATGGCGGGCGGTTTGAGGTGATGGCGTGGGCGTTTGCATAAGCCACGCCCCTCGTCGGAATGGCGGGCGGTGTGAGGGCAGTGTGAGGCGAGGGCTTGGGTCATTTGCATAAACCACGCCCCTCGGCAGAATCGCGGGCGGCTGCAGTGATGACGCGCTTCATTTGCATAAACCACGTCCCTCAGACGATGGCGGGCGGTTTGAGGTGATGGCGTGCATCATTTGCATAAGCCACGCCCCTCGTCGGAATGGCGGGCGGTGTGAGGGCAGTGTGAGGCAAGGGCTTGGGTCATTTGCATAAACCACGCCCCCCGGTAGAGTAGCGGGTAATGCAGGAGGTGATTGACAGGTGGGGACTTGACCCCCGAGGACACGCCCACTGAGAGAGAGCGCAATAAGATCCCGCGGACCCATTTGCATACGCCACGCCCCTCGTCGGAATGGCGGACTGTGAGGCGATGGCTCATTTGCATACGCCACGCCTCTCTATGGAAGAAGAGGGGCGATGGAGAAGATTGACAGCCCCAGGAGGCGGCCTGGGACCGAAGTGTGATGGACAAGCCGGGACGGGGCGGAACCACACGCCACATTTGCATAAACCACGCCCCTCGGCGGAACGGCAGGCGATGATTGGCCTCATTTGCGTAAGCCACGCCCCTTGATGGGAAGAGCGGGCGGTGGGGAAAAGTAGATCCTCATTTGCATGAGCCACGCCCCTCGTTGGCACAGCAGCCTATCGAGGCCGGTCTCATTAGCATAGACGCAGCGGAGGGGAGGGGATAGGGGCCCTCATTAGCATATGTGGGAGGTTCCTCTCCTAATTAGCATAGAGGCGGGGTCACGGCGTCTCATTAGCATATGCGGGGGACGGGACCACTGATGCTCAGTCCTCAGTGCTCAGTGCTCAGTGCTCAGTGCTCAGTGCTCAGTGCTCAGTGCTCAGTGCTCAGTGCTCAGTCCTCAGTGCTCAGTGCTCAGTGCTCAGTGCTCAGTCCTCAGTCCTCAGTCCTCAGTCCTCAGTGCTCAGTGTTCAGTGCTCAGTCCTCAGTCCTCAGTGCTCAGTCCTCAGTGCTCAGTCCTCAGTGCTCAGTCCTCAGTGCTCAGTCCTCAGTCCTCCTGTCCTCAGTCCTCAGTCCTCAGTGCTCAGTCCTCAGTGCTCAGTGCTCAGTCCTCAGTGCTCAGTCCTCAGTGCTCAGTGCTCAGTGCTCAGTGCTCAGTCCTCAGTGCTCAGTCCTCAGTCCTCAGTCCTCAGTCCTCAGTGCTCAGTCCTCAGTCCTCCTGTCCTCAGTCCTCAGTGCTCAGTGCTCAGTGCTCAGTCCTCAGTCCTCAGTGCTCAGTGCTCAGTGCTCAGTGCTCAGTCCTCAGTCCTCAGTGCTCAGTGCTCAGTGCTCAGTCCTCAGTCCTCAGTCCTCAGTCCTCAGTGCTCAGTCCTCAGTGCTCAGTCCTCAGTCCTCAGTGCTCAGTGCTCAGTGCTCAGTGCTCAGTCCTCAGTCCTCAGTGCTCAGTGCTCAGTGCTCAGTCCTCAGTCCTCAGTCCTCAGTCCTCAGTGCTCAGTCCTCAGTGCTCAGTCCTCAGTCCTCAGTGCTCGGTGCTCAGTGCTCAGTGCTCAGTCCTCAGTGCTCAGTGCTCAGTGCTCAGTCCTCAGTCCTCAGTGCTCAGTGCTCAGTCCTCAGTCCTCAGTCCTCAGTGCTCAGTGCTCAGTGCTCAGTGCTCAGTCCTCAGTCCTCAGTCCTCAGTCCTCAGTGCTCAGTCCTCAGTGCTCAGTGCTCAGTCCTCAGTCCTCAGTGCTCAGTGCTCAGTGCTCAGTCCTCAGTCCTCAGTCCTCAGTGTTCAGTCCTCAGTGCTCAGTGCTCAGTCCTCAGTGCTCAGTCCTCAGTCCTCAGTCCTCAGTCCTCAGTCCTCAGTGCTCAGTCCTCAGTGCTCAGTCCTCAGTCCTCAGTGCTCAGTCCTCAGTGCTCAGTCCTCAGTGCTCAGTGCTCAGTCCTCAGTCCTCAGTCCTCAGTCCTCAGTGCTCAGTCCTCAGTGCTCAGTGCTCAGTCCTCAGTGCTCAGTGCTCAGTGCTCAGTCCTCAGTCCTCAGTCCTCAGTCCTCAGTCCTCAGTCCTCAGTCCTCAGTGCTCAGTCCTCAGTGCTCAGTCCTCAGTCCTCAGTCCTCAGTGCTCAGTGCTCAGTGCTCAGTGCTCAGTGCTCAGTCCTCAGTGCTCAGTGCTCAGTCCTCAGTGCTCAGTCCTCAGTGCTCAGTGCTCAGTGCTCAGTCCTCAGTCCTCAGTCCTCAGTCCTCAGTGCTCAGTGCTCAGTCCTCAGTGCTCAGTCCTCAGTCCTCAGTGCTCAGTCCTCAGTGCTCAGTCCTCAGTCCTCAGTCCTCAGTGCTCAGTCCTCAGTCCTCAGTGCTCAGTCCTCAGTGCTCAGTCCTCAGTGCTCAGTCCTCAGTGCTCAGTGCTCAGTGCTCAGTCCTCAGTGCTCAGTGCTCAGTCCTCAGTCCTCAGGGCTCAGTGCTCAGTCCTCAGTCCTCAGTGCTCAGTCCTCAGTGCTCAGTCCTCAGTGCTCAGTGCTCAGTGCTCAGTCCTCAGTGCTCAGTCCTCAGTCCTCAGTCCTCAGTCCTCAGTGCTCAGTCCTCAGTCCTCAGTCCTCAGTGCTCAGTCCTCAGTCCTCAGTCCTCAGTGCTCAGTGCTCAGTCCTCAGTGCTCAGTCCTCAGTGCTCAGTCCTCAGTCCTCAGTCCTCAGTCCTCAGTCCTCAGTCCTCAGTCCTCAGTGCTCAGTCCTCAGTGCTCAGTCCTCAGTGCTCAGTGCTCAGTCCTCAGTCCTCAGTGCTCAGTCCTCAGTGCTCAGTGCTCAGTCCTCAGTCCTCAGTCCTCAGTGCTCAGTGCTCAGTCCTCAGTGCTCAGTCCTCAGTGCTCAGTGCTCAGTGCTCAGTCCTCAGTCCTCAGTCCTCAGTGCTCAGTCCTCAGTGCTCAGTCCTCAGTGCTCAGTCCTCAGTGCTCAGTCCTCAGTCCTCAGTGCTCAGTCCTCAGTGCTCAGTCCTCAGTGCTCAGTCCTCAGTCCTCAGTCCTCAGTGCTCAGTGCTCAGTCCTCAGTCCTCAGTGCTCAGTGCTCAGTGTTCAGTGCTCAGTGCTCAGTGCTCAGTGCTCAGTGCTCAGTGCTCAGTCCTCAGTCCTCAGTCCTCAGTGCTCAGTCCTCAGTCCTCAGTCCTCAGTGCTCAGTCCTCAGTCCTCAGTCCTCAGTCCTCAGTCCTCAGTGCTCAGTGCTCAGTGCTCAGTCCTCAGTGCTCAGTCCTCAGTGCTCAGTCCTCAGTCCTCAGTGCTCAGTCCTCAGTGCTCAGTCCTCAGTGCTCAGTCCTCAGTCCTCAGTCCTCAGTCCTCAGTGCTCAGTCCTCAGTCCTCAGTCCTCAGTCCTCAGTCCTCAGTCCTCAGTGCTCAGTGCTCAGTCCTCAGTCCTCAGTGCTCAGTGCTCAGTCCTCAGTCCTCAGTCCTCAGTCCTCAGTGCTCAGTACTCAGTGCTCAGTCCTCAGTCCTCAGTCCTCAGTCCTCAGTCCTCAGTCCTCAGTGCTCAGTGCTCAGTCCTCAGTCCTCAGTGCTCAGTCAGCTCAGTCCTCAGTCCTCAGTCCTCCTCAGTGCTCAGTCCTCAGTCCTCAGTGCTCCTCAGTCCTCAGTCCTCAGTCCTCAGTTCAGTCCTCAGTCCTCAGTCCTCAGTCCTCCTCAGTGCTCAGTCCTCAGCTCAGTGCTCAGTGCTCAGTGCTCAGTGCTCCTCAGTCCTCAGTCCTCCTCAGTCCTCAGTCCTCAGTCCTCAGTGCTCAGTGCTCAGTGCTCAGTGCTCAGTGCTCAGTCCTCAGTCCTCAGTGCTCAGTCCTCAGTCCTCAGTCCTCAGTCCTCAGTGCTCAGTGCTCAGTCCTCAGTCCTCAGTCCTCAGTGCTCAGTCCTCAGTCCTCAGTCCTCAGTCCTCAGTCCTCAGTGCTCAGTCCTCAGTGCTCAGTCCTCAGTGCTCAGTGCTCAGTCCTCAGTCCTCAGTCCTCAGTGCTCAGTGCTCAGTCCTCAGTGCTCAGTCCTCAGTGCTCAGTCCTCAGTCCTCAGTCCTCAGTGCTCAGTGCTCAGTCCTCAGTCCTCAGTCCTCAGTCCTCAGTCCTCAGTGCTCAGTGTTCAGTCCTCAGTCCTCAGTCCTCAGTCCTCAGTCCTCAGTCCTCAGTGCTCAGTCCTCAGTGCTCAGTGCTCAGTCCTCAGTGCTCAGTGCTCAGTCCTCAGTCCTCAGTGCTCAGTCCTCAGTGCTCAGTGCTCAGTCCTCAGTGCTCAGTCCTCAGTCCTCAGTCCTCAGTGCTCAGTCCTCAGTCCTCAGTCCTCAGTCCTCAGTCCTCAGTCCTCAGTCCTCAGTCCTCAGTCCTCAGTCCTCAGTCCTCAGTGCTCAGTG